TAGGCATTTAAAAAAATATTGGCTTCTAGTTACAGTTCAAATATATCAATCCTAGTGAAGGACGACACATTATGAACCACCAAATGGACAAGAATAAATGCATTCTTTGTTGCTTCCTCCCCCCCCCCTTCTCTGTCTCATTTATAGTTGAGTACACAAACAGAAATACTAGGGTAAATCCATCGGTAACTCATTTTTGAAAGCATCAGTTAATGCTGATTTTTCAAGAAACAATTGTTTGAAGGATTGTCATCACAAGCTCATTTGGTATTCACCACCCCACCAGTCATCAGCCCAGCTGCACTTTAAGTGGCTCTCAAACACAGTGGCACAAGTGTTGTACCATGTCTGAGTTTTAGCTCCTACTTAAAAAATAATAATTGGAGTGGGAATATATCAAGCATTCTCCCAATAATGTTATTGCTCTTTTTTTGGAGGGGAGGGAGGGACCAAGGATTAGATAACATAACCCTCCACTAGCAAATCATTTGGTAATTTTATGTTTATTGCAGCCCATAGACATGGCACTCATATAAGCTCCAAAGCCAGTAGTCTAGTGTTCATTACTGACTGCTCTATGCAAAACTTACCATTTCAGTTGCAGGGAAGATAGTACCACAGATACTGATGAAGCTGCCATTGCAGCTGATCCCATCCATGGCTGCAGCACAATTCCAATAGGCATGAACACACCTAACGAAGGACAATATATAAAACTAATCTGGTCTCTTAAAATATAGAATATTCAGTCTCTGTAATTTTAAAATGGGAAAATCTAACATTTGTTAAATGGGCAGACAGTCCCAGAGCCTGACTCGTGGGGACCTCGATAAACAAGGATCTCTCAACATAAGTTTACATGGGGTTTTTCAAACACTGGCTCAGTCCTGCACTTGGATTCAAATGGTAGACACGCTTGTATCCATGAGAAATGCTTTGTGCACATGCAAGGGTATGTCCTTGCATGGATCCAGCTGCGGGACTGTGGCCAAAGGTAAGATGTACTATTTGTCCCTCTGTTACTGTTGAAATAAAGCAAACAAACAAAGAGAAAAGCCTGGACAGCAATTCAGGTAACAGGGAGAGAAAGGATTATGGAAGATTGAGGAGAGGACTTGAAGAGGTAGGTTTTCAGGAGGCATCTGAAGGAGGAAAGGGTGCTGGTGGGAGAGGACAGAGAAAGCACTAAAATGAGAGGACTATAAAATAGGGGAAAGAAAAAACAAGAGGAGATAAGATTATTTAGGGCTTTGCAAATGAGAAATATGAGTCAGATATGGTTATGACAGGGATCTGATGGGGACTTTATGAGCAGGGAAGCTAGAAAGGAGAAAGTTACAGTATTCAAGGCAAGATGATGACGTGTATGAAGAAGAGGTTTATCACAAGGGACAAGAGGAAATGGAGGATTTTGGAGATCTGAAAACAAAAGACATGACTCTTTAAATGGTTTAGTTAGCTATGTAGCCCACTGTGCTTTATACAGTACTTAAAAATAAAAACTTTGGGCCTAGTCCTGAGCTCCTCAATCGCTGCTCTCAAGTTCTGTAAGAAAGGCAGCCATTTAGCAGTGGCTGGGTTGGAAGCAGGTAGGAATAAAAATCCCAAACAAAACACAAATGTACTTCTTTGACCACAGCTCTCTCCTGCTGTCCTTCATGTCATTTGACTTACATCGGAAGTGGTCTGAGGCACGGCTTAGTTCATTGTGTTTATACAATATATGAATATGCAGTCAAAGCTTGGCTCATGTTGAGTATTAGGGTTGTTGTACGCATGTATAAAGACAACCTTCAATACCATAGCAAAGTATCAGATTTTTATATTTTCCCAAAAGCTGTAATCCATAACACAACCCTGGGAGCAGACTGTGATTATCATCTCCCTTTGGGTATGTCTACACTACCACCCTAGTTTGAACTAGGGTGGTTAATGTAGTCAATCGAAGTTGCAAATGAAGCCCGGGATATTTAAATACCAGGCTTCATTTGCAACTTCGAATGCCTACATTAGCCTCCCTAGTTCGAACTAGGGGGCTACTGTAGACATACCCTCAGAGACATGGTTTATGGAGCTCATCTCCAACAAACTTGTAATGTAGAACTATTAAGTTTTGAGAGAGAGAGAGTGAGAGAAAGAGAGAGCTATGCATGGGCAGTCAGTGAAAGCAGGGTTGGGGGAAGGCAAGTTCCCAGTCCCACCCCACCCCTTTATCCAAGTCCCCGCCTCCCACCATGGGAGTAGATGGGCAGGGACATGTGTCCCAGCTTCCCTGGCAGGAGCACAGGGACACAGGCAGGTGGGTAGCTCCAGCCTCCCTGGCCCCAGAGCATGGGCGCTAAGGGCAGCAACACTCTGCCCCCAAAACACCTTCAGTAGGCATTCTGGGGGTGGAGTGTGAGCAGGGCCAGGCTAGCTGTTAGGGAAGGCTGTGTCTTTCCCCTCTTAGCATACCAACTGCCCATGGAGCTATGTGAGTTTCCCAGGGCTGCACAGCCAATGGAATTCGGTGTTGTTGTAGCCATGTTGATCTTGGGCTATGAGAGAGACACAAGGTGGATGAGGTAATATCTGTTATTGGACTAGTTTCTGTCAGTGGCAGGGACAAGCTTTTGAGCTTCATAGAGCTCTTCAGGTCTGGGGAAGGTAACCAGAGTGTCTAAGCTAAATACAATCTGTAGCAAATTATTAATCATGTCGGCTTCACACATGCTATAGGAGACCACTTTTTTAAAAAAAAACACTAAAAGCCATGGACTTAACAGACATTGGCTTTATGACTCTCTACAATAATTTGTAACACATCTTACTGTCAGATAACCCTTCATTTTAAACAGTCTTGACTGTGAATCCTTTATGCTTAATGATCTCTCCCATCTTGTATTTCTCTGAGACACCCTGTGTGCTTTCCCACACCTGAAGGAGAGCTCTGTGAAGCTCAGAAGCTTGTCCCTTCCACCAACAGAAGTTGGTCCAGTAAAATATTATCTCGCCTCCCTTGTCTTTCTCAACAAATGTCGGGAGCAGGTTTCAGAAGCTCATTGACAAGCTGAGTGCTAGCGGTTGCCTACCTGCCGCTATAGGTATCCCAAGCAGATTGTAAATTAAGGCAAGGACCAGATTTATTCGTATTCTTCGTACTGTCCTCTTTGATAGATGAATACTAGCAACCACATCCAGTAAGTCATTCTGCAAGACAAAAGCGCAGTGAAACAGCCCCGCTTCAGACATGTCTCAGAACAAACATAAGGGAAAAGATCACGCTGAACAACTGAACTCACTCGAATCAGAACCACATCTGCAGCTTCAATGGCAACATCTGTGCCTGTTCCAATAGCAATGCCAATGTCCGCTCCTGCCAGTGCTGGGGAATCGTTTACTCCATCTCCAACCATGGCAACCTTCTTCCCTTCATTCTGGAGTTCCTGAACCTTTGCCACTTTGTGAGAGGGCAGAACCTCAGCAAAGACCTTTTTGATGCCAACCTACAAGCAGGGAAAGCAAAAACACAGGAGAGTATATAGTTATGCTCAGGGCTCGCCAGCTGCGCTGTCTGGCGATCTGCGCATGTTCAGATGGTTCTGCGCATGCGCAAATCACCCAAACACGGCTCTTCCGGGTGGCAATCTACTCACCATGGGCAAGTAGATTACATTATTTGTCGAGCCCTGCTTATACTCTACTGGGGTTTAATAGGCTTATACGTATAGACGAGCCTTCTGATAAGGTTTAAGAAGAGATGATTGTTCTCTTGCAAGGAACTACAGGGTAATTCACACCTTTCATTTCACATGTAACATAGGAGTCATAAATAACAGGCTTCTATACCTACTATATATTTGAGGGAATTTGTCTGTCTGTTTGTTCAAAAACTCCTCCTAAACAGTAAGAGCCACGACCATCACATTCAATATACAGCTTGTTCTTAACATAACTTAAAGCAAAGTAAGGGTTTGGTTGTGCCAGGAAAATGGGATTGCTTCTCATAAAACCATACAGAAAAGAGACAAAATCACCAGGCAGATGAAAAGGGCTTGCTGGGGACATGCCCCACCCCCCCATTGGGGACTGTCCCAACCCCAAGCTTCCCACCACCCAAGCATACTTTAGGGGGTGGGGGCTGAAGCTCTCCCCCCCTCCCGCCCCCGATTTGTAAAGGGACATTGCTGGTTGTTCCCCTTTGTCAGGGAGCGAGGGGAAAGGGCAGAGATTGCTGCATTCCTCACTGGCTGGAGAACGAGAGCAGATGAACCAGGACCTGCCCTAGATGAGGAACATGCTCCCCGTCCCCAGCTGTGCACACTGCAACTGCAGCAGCTTTGGAGAGATGTTTCTAACCTGGCCCCAAGTTGCTGCCTTTCCCTAGCCCCACCCCAGAGCAATGATTTAAATAAAGTATGTACGTTTTCATTTTATTTTCCAAAAACCAAAAATTAATTGAGCGAAGGACCCAAGCAACACCAGGTAAGTCTTTTAGTCATTAAATATAGTGAAACCTTTGTTATACAAAGGACTCAGGAAAACACAACACACAATATACAAGAAGGATTACAATTGTCATGCATGAGGAAAATAAAGCAGACATTACTGTAACAGATAAGGTCATTATGTTCCACACACTTGTCTGGTTTTGCTGTTTGGTGGATTACTTAAATGAATAACTGAAGGTAAAAGTAGGAGCAATAGTAGAGAGAAAGAAAACACAGGAAGAGAAGCGCTGATGATACCATGCTAGGTGATATTGATGGGCAATGATTAGATGCATCTTAAATAAGTCTGTCTGTCTGCCTTAGGAAAGCAAATTTTAGTAGTAACAACTCTGCTTAGGGAGATGATCCTGTTACCACTAAGTCAACAGCAAAACTTTCATTAACTTTAAGGCCCTGTCCTGCTTCCTGTAGAGACATATTGCTGTGTCACTAGAAGAAACATTGCCTCTAAATGAATGGAAATAGAAGTCTAACCATTATGGGGGAAACCACTGTCAAACAATAGCTGGCATTAATCTTTTTTCTCTATCAGAATAGGACTTCCTGGTACGCCCAGCTTACTGTTCACTTAGCAACTTCCTTCTTGGCCCCATCAGAATGGTTTTATGTAACTATGCATATAGCACATACACTCACAAGAAAAGACTGCCAAGGGATACAGCATCTACTGACCAAGGCTGAGCATCCACTGAGCAGTGCTGAATGCTCATTTGCTCTTCAGTGGGAGCTGATGAAAGCTCTGAGACTCCATAGTCTGCTAGCTCCCCCTGTAACTCGGCTGCATGAGCCTACCTAATTGTGAACTCACAAGGGCCGAGCATCTTTTTTACTGACTTTGTGTAACACATCTTGTATATCTATGAAAAGGCTAAAATAGGCAATAGCACAGTTCACAGAATGGTTCACCGAGCCGTTCTGAGACCGACAGTACAGTGGTTCGAATGCAAAAGAAGAGTACCTGAGTAGCAATTGCTTTGGCAGTTTTTCTGTTGTCTCCTGTTATTAGCACCACATCTATTCCCATATTCTGCAGGGTGTGCACAGCGAGTGCCGCCTCCTGTTTGACAGTATCTGCTATAGCAATCATGCCGCACAATGAACCTTCACAACAAAACACACTCAGTGAGTTAGAGAGCTGCAAAAAGGCCCAGAAAGCAAAGTGAAGCCAAAGAAACTGCAACTAGGAAGCGTGACTGCAACAGCTGCAGATGTGCCCAAGTACCTTTGGATCTAGCTAGGTTGATAAACAATAGTAGTAAAGCTGCAGCAGCATGGACATGCCCCACCTCTGCAGGACCTTGGGTAAATACTCTATTCTCCCTACTCATGCTGCTGCTAGTGTAACCCTAGTGAGCCTTGATCTAGCTACATCAATAACTTGCTTATGCATGCTGCAATAACACCTCCCAATCACAGCATAGAAGCTAGTGAGATTCCCCCGACCTGCCCCGGTTGTAAATAAATGTACTACTGTCAAATACATTACTTGAGCATTTATAACATTTTGAGTGAATTTAGTGTTCACCGTTTAGTACAGTAATGACCACTGTCTGAAGACTGTCACTGAGCAATCTTAACACACAGACCCAGACCTTGACTACATTCTGTTCAGAGCTAACATTTAACATTCTTCTATCCCAGTCCTGGTGGCTCTTATGCATGCAATGCCAAAATGGGCCACATGAGGTGATGTTTTTCTGATGGCAAATGGGATTTGGGGCAGAAATTGCACTGGTGGTATTATTCAAGTCAGGATTTGAATGCATAGCTCCAAAGGGAAGGAGCTACCTTTCCTTCGTGCCACCAAACTCTTTAGCTGATAGTTTTCTCTCAGATTTTTTTCTTTTTACAAATTACTTGTCCTCTATCAGAGACTGCTGTACTGAAAGTTGCATGCCTGTTGCTGGCCATGCCAATCTGAAACATTTCATGTTGACAAGTACTGCAAACTGTATTTTAAAAATCAAGGGCTTCTCTGAAATGAGTCACAGCCTCCAAATATTTAATTACAGTAAGCTCTGCTGGTGGTCTATTAAGAACTTTTAAAATCCAGTGAAAAAAGGTAATAAGCCAGGATGGGCTGGGGCAGCAGGGTGTGTGTGTAAGATCTTCCAATGGCAGGCCCAGCAACTGTACTGCAAGTCCCTCATTTTCATGATGCTAAAAAAAACATAAGGTCATTCAGTCTTCATGGAGCCACTACTGATAATGGGAAGCAGGCTGAAAAGCACAAGTGTCTGCAAGAATGGCTCTATGGGGGCAACAGGATCAGACCAGAATTATTAGCTAATATTTATATAACAATGCCCAGGGACCTCCTGCCAGGATCAGAGGACCATTAGGTGTTAGACACTGAAAAAATGTATGCAGCACACATGTGAATTACAATCCATTATTAATGATTATTATTATTATTATCAGGGCTCGACAAATTAGTCAATCTACTCGCCCAGGGTGAATAGATTTTAAGCTAGCACAGTGCCGCAGCACAATCAGCGCATGCGCACCAAGGTCTGCGCATGTGCAGCGTGCCAAACCACGCGGCTGGCGAGCAGGGCTTGCCGCCGCTTGTCAAGCTCTGATTATTATTATACTGTGCCAGTGCTCAGGACCAGAGTCATGGATCAGGCCCCTTTGAGCTAAACACAAGCCTCAGAGAGTTCACAAACTAATCCAGCTTTTATTTCATGTCCCAACAATATAAAGAATGCTGCTCATGTTTGACCATAAAACATTTTAACAGGTGATAAGTGACATACTAGGTCACCTCGGGGTCCTTCAGATGACAACATGAAGGCAAGAAGGAAGCAGGTTTGCAGCGTCTCTTCTCAGAATGATGGTTCCAGCCAAAAGGAGGCACAGAAATTACTATTTAATTAAAGCTATGTTGCAGATTATACATTACACACTTAGAGTTCACAAACAATTTATGGCCATAAAGTAAGTAGCCTCTTGTCACTCTAACTTAGACACACCCCCTGAAGTAATAAATAGTCGATACATAGTTCAAGCAAGGTCACTTGCAGGGCCAATGTGATGTGGTATTTATGTTTTCACTGCATCATTTCAAAGAATTTTAGTTACCCTCTATAGCCACCAATATGGCTGTCTGTCCTTTCATTTCATGACCTGTCATTGCATCATTAACATCACTGGATATAAGTAAGCCATTCCGTCTCATCCATTCACGATTTCCAATCAACACTGAGTATGTCAGAGGAGCTGCCGCACCTGTGATAATAAAAACCAGGAGGAACTTACACAACGTTCACAAGCCCAAAGGAGAAAACTCAGAAACAGACTTGAAAGTTACCATATTTAAGCAAACTTCAAAACATGTTGTCAGCATGAAACCACAGAGCTGGAACTCCTATGCAACCTTGACGGGGTCTGAATAGAGACTGGGAGTGATGGGCTCACTACAAAAAGTAACTTCCCCTCTTTTGGTATTTACACCTTCTCATCCACTGTTGGGAGTGGGCCATATCTTCCCTGAACTAACCTTATTCGCTCTGGTAATGCAACACTTCCATCTTTCCATGTGTGTATATATCCACCAAATTGAAGCTTCCACCTCATGCACCTGACGAAGTGAGTTCCAGCCCATGAAAGCCTAGGCCCAAATGTGTTAGTCTTTAAGGTACCACAGAACTCCTCGTTGTTTTTGCCTTTTAACGGTAAACTCAAGAAGATCAAATTAGCTTAACAAAGAGGCTAATAAGTGACACGATCATAATCTTTCAATACCTACCTCAGGGGTGGGGAACTTACAGCCTGCAGCTGGGTCGCAGCTTGCCTGGATTGGGCCCGCAAGGCTCAGGGCTCTCTCCCCCTCCAGCATAGGGGAGCCAGTGCTGGCACTCCAACCCCATAGCCCTCCTGTGTGATTGGAGTGCCAGAGCTGGCTCTCCACTGAGGGAGTGAGTCGGGGAGCTGACTACTGAGCATCATGGTCCAGATCAGGCCAGGCTCTGCCTGGAGCGGGGATGGAAGTGGCACCACGTGCTGCTTCTACCCTTCTTCCCTGGCTAGGGAAACAGCAGCACAGGGAAGGGCTTGCCTGGATGTTTTTCCCTGCTGCTCCCATTGGCCAGAATCGCAGCCAAGAGAAGCAGTGGGGGTGGTGCCTGTGAGCCCAAGGGCAGGGATCCCAGAGCCATGTATGTCCCCGGGGCAGCTGTGTGGGTAAGCGCACACCACAGCCCTCACATACCCCTTCCCCCCCCAGACCTGGCTCTCCCACCCCACTTGTGCAATCTACCTTCTGCCCAGAACCCACATCCCCACTCTGCTCCTGCACTCTACCACCTGCATACATACCCGAACTCTTAGCCTGCTCCTGCACCCTCTCTGCTGCCCTGACCCTTCGTCCTCAGCCTGCTTCCCAGCAGCCCCCTCTCACACACTGAACTAGAGATGTAAACGACTTGTCAACTACCCGATAAGCATAGACTTTTTGGGTAGTCAAGCCAACTAATTGCTTCCCTCCCTCACACACACCTTTGCTGCCTCTGTATCAGAGGCAGCAAGGGAGAGGCGAAGGAGCTGGTGGTGGAGGGAGCTGGCTTAAAAACAGATTCCCCCCAGCACCATCTCCACGGGGTGGGGTGGGGTGGGGTGGGGTAGCAGGGGAGGCAGAGGTGTGGTGGGAAATGATGCAAGCAGGGACTGAAGCAGTCTTTGCCTGTGCTGGTCCAACTGCTGTGCCTCTGCCTTTTAAAGGTAGTAAGAGTTATCGGTGGCTTGCCCCAGGTTCCTGCTGCGCTGCCTCTGCCTTTGAAATGTAGCAAAAGAACCACAGGGCTCTTGCTACATTTCAAAGGCAGAGGCAGCGCAGCAGGAACCTGGGGCAAGCCACCGATAACTCTTACTACCTTTAAAAGGCAGAGGCACAGCCGGGACAGCGAGCACCCTGCCCCGCCCCTTATCTACCAATCAAGTAGTCGATGGAAATTCCATTGACTACTCGTTTAGCTCATTAATTGGAATTTAACATCCCTATACTGAACTCCTCATTTTGTCCCTGCCCTAGAACCTAGGAGAGTGTCTTTTTTTCCTTCTCAGTCGGGGGCCATGTCAATTAGAAGTTTTGGGGTTTTTTGCTTTTCACTTTTGTTTGTGGCTCTCCCATTGATTTTTCTGTGGGTCAGTGGCCCCCAACCCAAATAAATTCCCTACCTTTGATCTACACAGAGAATAAATGTTTGATATTGGGCTTGCCTGTCCAGCAGACAAATATATAAATGGGATCCAATGGCTAGAAGTTGAACTAAAATTCAGACGAGATAGAAGACACAGATTTTTAAGAGTGAGGACAGTTAATTACTGAACAATTTACCAAGGTTACTGTGAACTCTCCAACACTGGCAATTCATAAGTCAAAACTGTGTGTTTGGATAAAAGATATGCTCCAGCTCAAACAGGAATTAAGTCAGGGAAGCTTTATGACCTATGTGACATGGGAAATCAGATTAGATCGGGGTGCGAAAACTTTTTGAGCTCAGTGCTATATCTAAGTAATCAAATTGTATGGTGGGCCATCAGTGTTTGTGGCCCAACCTCCTCCCAGTGACAAATGAGCCACTAGGGCAAAGGCGCCCCAGGGCCCCAGCCCATTGGGGTGCCCCCCAAAAATGGGCTCCTCTGAGCCACCACCAGCTCCAACCCCTCTACTGCATGCTACAGCTAGAGTGCCAGGTGGAACAGGGCAGACCCTCAGCCATGCCCCATGGATGGAGCTTAAGGGTTAGATGAAAAGGTCTGGCAACTTTTGGATGTGGCCTGTAGTTTGCCTGTAGTTACTACTGAGCCTATTTGTCACATGTGTTATCAAAGCACCTATCACTGTAGTATCTAAATACTTTCTAGCCACATTAGAAAAAATAAGTATTACTTTTCTCCCAATGATACATTTTAGCTACTTTGTATTTTCTAACACATTCCCACCTTTCCTACTGCAGGAAGCATATTCTACTTGTGTACAACTATTTTACAGTGGCTGGTATCATTGATTTAGCCCTGTAGCTGGCTATCCACTTTGGGGGCAGTCCTACCATTGGATTCAGAGAGCGTGATTGATGAATTGTGTCCCAGCGAAGCAGGGTTGACATTACTTGGGAAAGCATTCTGCTCATTGAGGCTCTGCTCGCTCTGGCCCAGTACAGCTTCAACACTGCGGACTTTACAGCTGATCCCACAACCTGGCACTGTCTGAAAATCAGTGCAGTATCCCAGGCTCTCTGTGCCCAGTTCCTACAAAGAAACAAACAAAGAAACAACTTGTAACACACTCTGAATCATCCAAGTGATGCACAAATATAAGCTAAATCACACAGGAAATACAGGAAAGTTGGTCTCCTCCTCTTCCTTTTTGAGAGAAGTAACAGAAAGCAAGGTTAAGCTATTTGCTGGAAGCCACATGCAGCCTTAGTGTGAGAATGGGAACTGGAAGTCCGAAGTTACTGGTTCCTAATGCTATGACTAGCCCTTTAGAAATAGGGATTGCCATACCAGATCCAATCAGAGCTCCATCTATTCCAGCGACCCATCACTGACCAGAGAAAAAGCCTCATAAAAAAAAACCCATCCATAAATAAATATGAGGAAGCTATATGGTTGCCTCATCCCCAAGAATGATTGTTTATATTCCTTATAGCTTTTTGATCCAATCTTTAATCTACCACTACACCATGCTGGAAGGATCAACTTTCAACTATGGCAGCAGGTAACTGGCTGCAGGGGACTCTGAGCTTTTTATGACTATACTTATTTAATTTAATTATTTAAAATCTGTTTGGTTTGACCATGAGACTAAGAAACAGCTTGCTTTTGGTGCTCTTTTCAAGACTTTGTAAGAAAATGAAATCTTATCATAAACAGCCTTTTTTGTTGAATCAGAAGAGAAGAGAGAGTGTCTTCCCAGGTTAAAGAACGGGGTTGTATAATGGGATGTGTACCACACAGAGGCCCTGAATAGGTTACTGTAGGCCTGAGAGGACAATTACGTTACCTGGCTGCACCTGGAGGGACAGGCAGGCTGACCTGATCATGAAGCCCAGCTGGGCAGGAGCAGGCTGGTTAATATACAGAGATGATATCTGTAGCTGTCAGGAGTGGCAGGGAGAGAGTCTGAAATCACTCTCTGGGAACAGAGATGATAATGAGGAAGCTGGGGTAGAAGGAGAACAAGCTCTGGGAGCCTACCCCTGAAAGGAAGCTGCAGAGGAGAACCAAAGGAAAGCTGTGAGAGAAGGAGCCCAAGGACATAGCAGCAAGTGGGAGTGTGCCAGACCTTGGCTGCTGGTTATATGAACCCTGGTGTTGCTACCTGATGTAGTGGGGGGCCCTAGATATCTCCATGAGCCACTGACAAGGTGGCATGAGTCTGAAGAAGTGAACAAGGACGTTAGAAAGCTCTGAGGCGAGGGTGTGGGAACCACTGGGGCCAGAGACCAGACACAAGCTCTGGGAATTATTTGTTGGACTTCTGTTTGTTGAATTTTTTTACTCCAAAAGGAAAGGAAACAAAGATTGTGCCTGGCCGCAGGGCTGAGTTACAAAATGGAGACTGGTGGAGCAACCAGCAGAAGGGTGAGAGCTGCTAAGCCACACCTGGTCACGAGGAGACGCTCAGGCAGTGAGCGGGCCATGTCACAGGTTACCAAGACCATTTTTTATACCTCTACATTTATAAAGAGAAAAAAAATAGTCAAATTATAAAACTAACGGATCCAAGTAATTTCCAAGATATTCACTGAATTCAACAGAGCTACCCATGGGCTATTGAGTAGTAGGCAAAAGGTAATTTGGACAGGTCAGTGAATGTACTGCAAATGTATGCAAAGAGGTAAGGGCCGTACATGCAAGCTATGATGACAACCGAGTGAACTAATGTTATGTAAGTGACTCACGCACAAGAAAGAGTAGTTTCAAAGGCAGCAACTAGGAGAAGATAACCAGTTTAAAAATATAAAGGCAGGCATCCAGATCATTACCAGCTAGGAAGGACATGACTCTAAATGGGCGTTTTAGTTTTCTAAGCTTTTCCCCCCTAAAGGTTTATACTTGATGTGTTAGATATGAAAAGATAAATCTGGAAGGAAAATGAGTGTGTCAGCTGTCGTTGGCCAGTAGAGCAGTGGCTTTTATATAGGCATAAGGGGAAGCTGTGCCTTCCTTTTTTGTTTTGATGGTGTTTTCCTTCTTCCTGAAGTATATGGGGAACATAGGCCATAGATGGTATTTGCCAATGTACATAGAGATGGGTAATCTTGGAGACTAATCATCAATTCATTTCTCAGCTGGGCTCACTGTTCATGTGATACTTGGGTTTGTTAAAATCTTTCTGGCTAAATGTAGTGATCAGACAAATGACTAACAGTAATAGCTACTGCCAGGCAATGGGCAGGAAGGGACTATACACCATTCCTATTGGTGAATTGCCAGCGCACCTCCTTGTGGCCAGGTACGGCTTAGCAGTTCTCTCTCCACATAGTCCGGTCTCATTGCCCTTCCATGTTCTAGGCACCCGTTTTAAGTATTCATTTGGAAATGTATACTATGTGGCCATTACCCAGGCATCATAATTATTAGACATTCCAACCACAATCCAGGACCCATGATGTCAGATACGGTAACAAACACCATGAGACAGCCTGTGCCCTAAAGGGCTTTGATCTTAATAAGACAGACCAATGGTGAGAGGTGAAGCTACTAACCTACAGTCACACATTAGGTCAGTGGCAGAAACTGAATTAGAACTCAGGTCTCCAAGCTATCAACTCAGTGCTCTTCCCACTAAACCATGCAGCTTCATAGAACACCATAAATCTCATAAATCACAGTGTAAAACCCCCCCCTGCCAATAGCTAAATTACTCATTATTATAAGTCATCAAAAGCTTGGCTAGAATAAATGCTTCACTGTAATCTAAACCTTATAGACTCAGACAAATCAGCAAGGGAAAGTAGATTCCAGATGGTTTTTTATTAAGACCAATCATCAGCCATAGAAAGTTTAAAACCTGGACGCGACAGCGAGAATGACCTAGCAGATCCTAACTGCCATGGTTAGGATTAATTACAAGTCTGTGGGTTAATTATTATCTTACACAACTGGAACTGTGACTCTGCCCATGATGCAGCAGTATAAACATCTTTCATTTAGGTCAAGCAGGGAGCTATGTTCACTGTTGACGCTAAAAACCTATTAACACCCAGGAATGGAAAGCGGGAATCCCAAGTCTAAATCATTCTTTACACAGAAGCAAGAAGATAAGGCTTAACATTTTCCGACCATCCTCAGGCTGGAAACCTTGCTCGCAATGGTGTTCATAAACCTGGCTTTTCTAAGAGCTGCTGCCCATGATCGGATATGAGGTCCTAATGGATTGTAAAGATGACAAGTCCCACTGTGAAGTCAGATCTATCCAGCTGTGTCTGGCTTATTCAGTGCAATACTGCAGCTCAGACATATCCTTGGGCTGTATTTGATATACATACCTCCTTACAGTATTTAGTGACAGCCGTTCCTAAGGGATGCTCACTGCTGGCTTCTGCAGTGCCGACAATTGCAAGTATCTTCTTTAGCGACAGCTTAACTGTATCCCCTAGCAAGAGCATCCTCATGACTTTAGGGACGCCATAGGTGATGGTCCCAGTTTTATCAAACATCACAGTCTTTATCTGCAAGAAATAACACATTTCAACTACTGCTGCCATAGTTAATCTCAAGCACAGCAAGTATGAGAATAGTTGGAAAGAGTTCTTCATATTAGACCTAGCATCTGTGCAATATAATGTCTCTGTTCAAGTGCATGTGTGGTTGAGAAGTATAAACAATTACTGGCTCCTTCATGAATATTTTGCTTTCTATACACACACAACATGCAAAATAAGCACCTTATTGGCACTCAGCCTTCTCTGCCAGAATATAAAGAAAATAATCTACACAACGTAAGGTACCTATATCATGAATTGTCCAGTGCTCCAATTCTACTTAATTTTCTTAACTGAGTAATTATCATTCCGATATCAGCATTTACCATAAACTACCTCATCATGGTAGCTTAAACAATGCTGTTATTGCCTATTTCAAGTATCAGTAAAGCTGGGATATTTCAGATATTACTGTAGAATAATTAGTTATGAGTGTTGCAATTTCAATGGCAAACACTGAGCACAAATTTTATGAAATGTTTATTTGAACTCATCTGACAATCTCTCAAGTATTAAATCACGGCATGCATTTTCTGATCTCAACCTGAGTAGAACAGCTTCTAGATGCTGTTCTGAAAACCAATCATCAGCAGCATTTGTATAGTACTTTAAAGCAGTTCAAACATGAACTCACTAAATGGCAAAAGATTCCTGAAACACAGGGAGGGAAATACTTGTAGTAACCCATTTGACAGCTGGAGTGAAAGTTAGGGAACAAAGATGAAAGCAACTTGGTGCACAGTCATACAGGAAGTCAGTAGTCCTAGCAGTGATGAAAAGTCAGGATCTGCTGGCTTGTACTCCTCTGCTGTGACCGTTATGCAACACTGCCTCTTTCTGACTCCAAAAAGAACTTACCTTCAAAAATATTAAGAGCAATGACCAATTTTAAAAAAAAATATATACTTTTCAATAGATTAAATTAGAATTTTCTGGGAATTTTTTTTTCTAGCTGGCCACCAATGTAAATGGTATTAATGCAATATTTCCATGATAAGATATTAACCTTGTGGGCCATTTCCAGAGGTTTTCCACCTTTGATGAGAATACCATTCTGGGCAGCAACTCCTGTGCCCACCATCACAGCTGTTGGAGTAGCCAAGCCCAAGGAACAGGGGCATGCAATGCACAGCACAGTGATTGAGGTTTGAAATGCAAATCTCAGTATTACTTCCGCTTTTGAGAGGTGTTTGTTCTGATGCTGCAAGGAAAAAAACAAAACAAAAAAGAGAAAGGTACATTTGCTGTGCACCAAGTGCCTAGTCAGGTGCAATAATCTCAAACACGCATCTATCCGGAAATCTCAGATATGGAAAATAGAACAACCGATTATAGTTACCAGGCACACCCACAGAGCAAGCAGGGTGGCATGATGTATTTTGATTTTAGTAATGCAGTCTAGATGAAAGCTCTATAACAGGGGTGGGGAACCTCAGGCCCGGGGGCTGGATGTGGCCCTCAACTTGCCTAGATCTGGCCCCCAAAGCTCAAGGCCCCCCCCCCCCAACACTGGGGAGCCTGCACTGCCTCCTCATGGGACTGGAGCACATAAAATCTAGTAGTCTGGGCCCCCCAGGCTCTGGTGTGTGAGGAGAACATGGGGAGTAGCTTTCTCTCTCTCATTTGGGGCCATACGGAGGGTTTTTTCCCTGCTTCTCACTTGTGTTAAGCCCCCGACTGATTTTTCTGTGGGTCAGCAGCCCCCCAACACAAAAAAGGTTCCCCATCCCTGCACTATGAGTGCTCAGAGGGTTGAAAAAGTGCATTCAAAGAGTTAGCAATGGTTTGCTGTCAAATTGGAAGGGTGTCTCTAGTGGGCCTCCCAGCAGTCAGTCCTGGGTCCAGAACTATTCAATATTTTCATTATTGGCTTAGATAATAGAGTATATGCTTATAAAACCTTCCAATGACAATAAAATGGGAGGGATTACAAGCACTGTAGAGGTCAGGTTTAAAGTTCAAAATGACCTTCACAAATTAGAGAATTGGTATGAATTCAACAAGATGGAATTCAGTGAAGGCAAGTGCAAAGTACCACACTTAGGAAGGAAAAATAAAAATCACAGCTACAAAATGGGGAATAACTGTCTAGGTGGCAGTATTGATCTGAGGCTTAGAGTGGACCACAAAATAAATGTGTCATCAATATGATATAATTGCAAAAATGGCGACTATGAACTGGAGTATAGTAACAGGAGTGTTGTGTGTAACACACAGGAGGTAAGTGTCCTGCATTACTCAGCAGTGCTGAGGCTCCAGCTGGAGTACTGTGCCCAGTTCAGGGCATCACGCTTTAGGAAAGATGTGGACAAATTGGAAAAAGTCAAGAGGAGAGCAACAAGAATGACAGTAGGCTTAGAAAACCTGCCCTGTGAGGAAAAGTTTAAAAAACTGGACATGTTTAGTTTTGAGAAAAAAAGACTGAGGGGGAACCGAGTAATAGTCTTCCAATATGTGAAGGGCTATTATAAAAAGGACAGTGATCTGTTGTTCTCCATTTCCACTGAAAGTAGAACAAGAAGTAATGGGCTTAATCTGCAGCAAGGGAGATTTAGGTTAGACCCGGGCTACTCAACGTGGCCTGTTTATTTGTGGCCCACAGTGCAGTTTCGGTTTATGCAGGGCTCAACACACGGCCCGTGGGTGGGATCCTTTGAACAGGGCCTTCACTGGGAACACGCTCCAAAGGGTGAGGCATCTCCCAGGCAGGGTGAGCACTGAAAGATGCAAGTGGACGGGCTGGCCATAACAGAGGAATACAGGGTGTCAGCATTCCTAGCCTCCAGGGAGGAGGTGCCAGGAGCACCGGGGCTTTGTGTGAAAGAAGTTATTTGCATATATATTTGCGTGTAAATGCAACCACACTTAAGTTGCGGTCCTCGGCATGTGCTGTGAGTATCATTGTGGCCCTGGGGCTTCCAAAGTTGAGTAGTCTTGGGTTAGACATTAAGAAAAGTTTTCTAACTGTAAAGGTAGTGACCCTCTGGAATAGGCTTTCAAGAGAGGTCATGGAGTCCCCATTTCTGGAAGCTTTTAAAATCAAATTGGACAAACAGCTGTCAGGAGTGGTCTAGGTTTTCTTGGTCCTGCCTCAGCACAGGGGGCTCAACTTCATTACTTCCTGCCCTATGATTCTATGCTGGGACACAGCCAGGGCAGGCCGCTTGGTGGCTGAGCACAGCCTCAGAGCAAGCCGCCTGCCCCGCCCCTGCCAGCTCCAGCCCTGGGGAAGCTGATGACCCACCTCCCTACCTTCAACTGATGCCAGCTCCAGCCTGTCCCACATCCATCTCATGCCCAGACCCTGTATCCCCAACCCCCTCAAACTCTCCAGCCAGCTCCTGCACCCTCCCCCTTGGCAAGACTGCCCCACCCTCAGCCCACCTCTGCACCCAGTGGGGCTACCAGCCACTGCAGGCTCCAGGGCAAGGTGGAGGGGAAGACGAGGGGGGGAGAGAGAAGAGCTCCTCCATCAGTTTGGGAGAAGCAGAAGACCTGTTCCATAATCAAGTATAGCCAATGGATCCACACAGTGGGAGAGCCATTGGCATTACACCTCTCTCCTGCTATACCTGCAAACGTCTTTCATCCCCACAAGGGCCCCCACAATTCTGCTTATACCCAGCTCCAGTGGAGATTTACCTCTTGAAGTAATAAGCATTGCAATGCTATGCAGACTGGCTCCCAGGTGATAATACCACCTGCTGTGTTTTCCACATTTCCTCTCCCCCGCCGCCTCATAGAATGGGTATGCCATCACCAGGATGCACAACCTCTCACACTCTATCAGCCTGGCAGTACAGTTTACACTTCTTACAAATAACCAATATGCATTCTTCTTTCTGAAGACCAGATCCATGATCAGCAGCAGCACAGGCAGTTTTCTACCTGTCAGCAGTTCCTCGGCTCTCTGAGATATCCAGCCACTGGACCAGATTCATCCCTGGTATATCTCCATTGATTTCATTTTTGTAAGAATCCCATGCAGAGACGAAGATGGACTGATCAGTCTGTTGAGGCTGGCCAAAAATTAACTACCTGAATGTATTTTGTCTATTCTACACAGAAATCTAACACATTTGAGAACTGAGAGTGCATGGCATCTGGCAGGATCAGACCTCTGGGAAGTCCAAAAGCTACCTGACTTCCACTGGGCTGTTAAGAGTAAATATGGGACTGATGGCATTACTTACAGGAAAGTATTTCTCAACGACATCAAAGCTTACAAAACCAATTGTGATCCACACTAGTAATGTCATAGTTGAAATGATGATGATAAATGGAACAAAATATCCACTAAATTTATCTGCCAATTGCTGGATGGGTGCCTAGAAAAACAAAACACAAAGATATTTGTTTTATGACAAAAAAAAAGAGATAGCATAGAATAGACATAGTAACATCTACCAGCCCTTATTTCATAACACAGTTGTTTTATTTTTAAAGTCTGTTTCTTGCTGATCCTAATGCAAATATCACAAGAGCAAAAGCTTTGGTATATATAAAGTGCAATAATTTTAGGCTTACCTTTGACATCTGAGCTGCTTCTACCAATTTCACAATTTGTGCCAGGGTGGTGTCAGACCCAACATGAGTTGCATTAACAAGAACTGAGCCATGTGCATTTATAGAACCTGCAATCACTGTGCTCCCAGGTTTTTTAGTGACTGGCATGGCTTCCCCTAGGACAAAACAGCAACAAGGTCAGGACAAATACCTGAGTAGCCAGAGAGCAAAGGTGCATAATAATAGATAGCCTGCTACATGCTGGATAGTAATTCAGTTTTAACCATCATTTGAAAGACTGTTTCCAATCAGCCTGGCATAAAGGCTAGTCCCATAAAGTAGTCTGAATCTGTATCAGAACGTTCCCAAAGCCAAGAGGAGTGGTTATTCAAATAAGGAAGTTTGGTTCAAGCCTCTTCACTACTCAGAATGAATATGGAGAACAAGTATGAATGGTTTAAGAAGGGGATCCAGCAGCCAGTTAGCTTTGCTAAGCATAAAGAAAATTACCAGTAATGAGTGATTCATCTGCCATAGAGCTGCCTTCAATGACTTTTCCATCAACTGGGAACTTCCCACCAGGAACTACCTTTACAATGTCACCCCGCTGAACCAGTTCAACAGCCAACTGCTCCTCCCTGTAAGAAGCACCCAGTTAGGAGAGACAAATAATGTGATCCATACCATTCATAGGAACAAAAATGCTTTTACCATTATAAGCTTTGATCTAGTCAGCCAGTAGGCTGACGAGCTTTGGGAGAATCATACATACCTGATGACAGAGTGATCAGGTCCAAGAGTCACTATGGTCGCTTCAGTAGCTTGGAGAGAGATTAGTTTAGCAAGTGCTTCTGATGTTTTACTCTATGAAAACAATAGAGATAAATGCTTAAGAAGTTGGCCCAATAAAAAATATTATATCACCCATCATGCATCTGGTATTTCAAGTATACATGTACAGGCGGCTGGACTTGATGACCTTTCGAGATCCCTTCCAGACCCACATTTCTATGATCCTGTGTGTACAGTTAACAAAGTAATCCACAAGGCTATCAAACTACAGCGTACACCCCATTGCATGCCAGAAATGCTATCAAAAAACATATAACCGTTTCTGTTCATAGAGATCCCATATTATTTTCATCTTTACTGTACATAAGTCTACGTAACATGTAGACTGTTTACCCATACATAACGTGTAGACAGGTTACCTTTGCTATGTGTTCAAGCCATCTCCCAAGAGCAATGAATACAAACAACATGGGTGGTGTGTCAAAGAATGTGACTGGGCTTTCTTCTGCCTTTTCAGCTATAGCTACCACCAAGATCACACAAGAGTACACATAAGCAATAGTTGTGGCCAGCACAATGAGTACATCCATATTGGCTGTTTTGTGCTTTAGTGATTTGAAGGCTTGGACATAGAAGTACCATCCACCGAGGAACTGTCAGTGAAAGTACATACAAATGCATATTAATCACAGCAGTGAAAGCAGAGCATATACAGTACAGATTGTAGCAAAGTTGTAAATAGTGAAACTGATGTTAATGAGCCTGTTTCTTAGCTCAGACTGGCTTGACCATCGTATAACTTCAATGAAATTTCTTGCATGTAAACTGGTAAGGCCAGGGACTGTTTTGTTCTCTTTGTATAGCACTTTATACAGTGTGGTCTCCTGTCTAGACAGGGCCCCTCTACACGCTACTGTAACACAAATTAAAAGCAATGGGGTCACTCCTAATTTCCATCAGTATGTGTGACAGAGAATTAGGCCCATTAAATAGAAACATTCTAAATGGTTATATGTAATCATGTCATAGCAGGACTAGGAGGAAATGCTTTTAAAGCCTCATTGCAACAGAACAGGAATGCAGTATGGAAAAAATATCTGAATCTCACTGTTAAGTCTGTTTTAATCTTCCCTCCCCCCCTTACCTTGCCCCATTACTTCTCTCTCACTCTTCTTTTATCTTACCCCCTTTTCACTTCTCTATCTCCACCCTTGTGCTGCCTTTACCATCTCACTGCTCTGTGTTGTACACAGCCCTCCTTTATTCTCTCTATTTTATCTGTCACAGACTCAACAAGCCTGAGAGGTTAAAAGGTCAGCACTATTATCCCTTTTTTACTATGTAGGGAGAATGAAGCACAAAGATGAAGTGACTTGACCAAGGTGTGCCAGTGAGTCAGTGACCAAATCAAGAGTTGAATTCAGGACCTTAACTCCTCTAACATGATGTTCATCCCAACATGCCACCCCTTTATGTTCTCTCTTCACCTGTCACTTCATGCCTGGTTAGACTGAATTCTTTGGGGAGGGTGCCACCTTATCTATATATACAGGTAACACACGCAACTTGGCTGCTATGTATAGACAGACACACATACTTACACACACAAAATCATACTTGCACAATACATTATAATTATCAATACCAGTTTTAATAGAGTTACTTTGTCCTATGTATCTTGAATTTACAGGTGGATAGATGCAATCGATTAAGGCTTTCCAATCTAATTTTTTTTTTTTTTTTTTTTTACTTAAAATCAGATTATGTAAGGGGACATTGAAAGGAAATACCTAAAAATACTGTTTTCATACCTGAACCAAAGTGCACAGGACAAAGAAGAGAAGATTTAAAATAGATAATCCAGGAATCAGATTCTGTTCTAGCACCATCATGCCATGCTGTTGGCCAACAGGTATTAGCATATAAATCATTAAGATTAAGACAGGGATTCCAAACACAAGGCTGCACAAGAAAGATTTCCTCCATCTGAAAAATAGAAGTCATGAATCCATGGCATTAGGAGTACACTTTAGTAGTCCTTGGGCTAAACTCTGCACATGTACAATTCCCTGAGGGTTGCATATACACTGCACCCATAGCTCAAAATAAGGTACACAATTTGAGCTACGCAAATTGGGTAGCTTATTTTGAGTCAATTTCAATATAGCTTATTTTGTAATTTGGTGCTGTCTACACAGCGCCAAATTATGAAATAAAGCGCTATTCTGAAGTGTCCCTTACTCATGGAATGAGGTTCACAGGGGCGTTGGAAGAGCAAGCCTATTATATTTCAAAATAATGGGTCTGCTGTTAAGATGCAGGATAGCTATTTCAGGATACCTCTGGTATCCCAAAATAGCGCTGTAGTGTAGACATAGCCTGACGGATCTGAGGCCATTCAGCCCTGGGCAGAATTGGCTCCAATTCATTGCTTCTTACCAGGGCTTAAACCTTTCACTTACGAAGAAGTTCCTTTGTCTCCTGCTTGTCTCAGATACCTAACTCTCTACAAATAACACTGAAAGGTAATCTACATGGGCATAAGAGCACCTGAACCGCAAACCACTAAGCAAGTACATCTGAAATATGCCTTGCACAAGCATAAACCAAATTTCCTGCCACACTATAGAGGCCTTCTCTTTGTTACAGTCATACTTACTGTTTTATTTCCTTTTTGTGATCCAAATTATGAGCACTGGGATCTCTCTTAGCCAAAGCAGCTTGAAAACCAATTCCCTTTTTATTAAAAAACAAAACAAAAGAGTTTGGTTAATTGAGATTCATTATGTACAGCAGATGAAAACTTCCTCTAAAAGGATATATAATTTAAGATCAGAAATGTCAGAACAGGGGACACTTTGGTGAATGCTTCCTGTTTATTTATTTATAGTGCCTGCCAAAATGAGAGGAGCTCGGATTATGTGGCTGATAATGGAGTAGAAAACATTGACAGTAAGGTTACACATACCCTCAACCATAACAAATCAAACTTCTTAGGTTTGATGTTGGGCGCAGCTGGGAATATGGAAGGACAGATATTCCCTCTCAGACATCACTCAGGAAACATTTAAAACAAATACAATAGAACACCAGAGTTACAAACTGACCAGTCAACCATACACCTCATTTTGGAACTGGAAATACACAAGCAGGCAGCAGTAGACACACACACACAAGAAAGTAAATACAGCACAGTATTATCTTAGATGTAAGCTACAAAAAAATAAAAGGAATGCAGCATTTTTCTTCTTCAGAGTCAAATTTCAAAGCTGTATTAAGTCAATGTTCAGTTGTAACCTTTCGAAAGAACTGTAACATTTTGTTCAGAGTTATGAACAACTTCCGTTCCCAAGGTGTCTGTAACTCTGAAGTTCTACTGTATGCAAAATGAAAACAAACAAACTACATGGAGAGTATACATCTGGTGAGTCTCTGAACCTTGATAGGATTTCCTTAACGGTACAGTGCTGTGGATGTATGCCACCACAGAAAGCAACAAGAACCGGCAATGGTCAGCAGCAAGAAAGGAGTCAAAACATTAAAATAATTAAAATGCGACTGCCTTTCCTTGTGCATCTATAAAGGCAGTCCCCGGGTTACGTACAAGATAGGGACTGTCGGTTTGTTCTTAAGTTGAATCTGTATGTAAGTCGGAACTGGCGTCCAGATTCAGACACTGCTGAAACTGACCGCCAGTTCTGACTTACATACAGAATCAACTTAAGAACCCCAGGCGTCCCCAAGTCAGCTGCTGCTGAAACTGATCAGCAGCTGATTCCAGGAAGCCCGGGGCAGAGCAACTCTGCTGGCACCGGAGCAGCGAGAAAGCCCCGTTCGTAAGTGCGGATCCGACGTAAGTCGGATCCGCGTAAGTCGGGGACTGCCTGTATATGCAATAACATGTCACTTACTTTTGAGATATTTTCTGCAATCTGGTAGCTAAATATTTATTTAGTTTTAATTTATTTATTCTTCTTTGAAAACCATGTTCTTTCGAAATCAGTTCACCTTATCGATAATTTTAAGTTCTGCTAGTGATTAAATTTGTATCTAGTTAAAGGGATGGGGACCTATGGCCCAGCATGCGGCATGTCTTGATCCGGCCCACGAGGCTTGGGCTCTCTCTTCCCACAACAGAGCAAGCCAGAGCTGGCTTGTCCTGCTATGGAGTCCGGAATCCCAAGCGTAACAGGCTGGATCAATGCAAGTTACAGGCTGCATCGGGCCCACGGGCTCTGCCTAGCAGGGGAGAGGAAGTGGTTCTTCATTCTGATGTCATCCCCTACTCCCTCTGGCTGGGGAAATGGCAGCTCAGAGAAGCTCTGGTCATGTGCTCACATGCGGTTCTACCACAGGGGAATGGTCAGAGGCCATCTGGGGGACCACCAGCCATGCAACTCCTCCCCCAACACAGGGAAGGGTCAGGACCATTCCTCTTCACCTCTGCTCTACTCTTCCCTCTCTTGCGCTGTCCTCTCCCTGCCTCTCCTCTTCCCCCCAACCGGCTTTCTCGCCCCGACTTCCGGGGCGAGAAAGCCCCGTTCGTAAGTGCGGATCCGACATAAGTCGGATCCGCGTAAGTCGGGGACTGCCTGTACTGTGCCCAGCACAACTGGGCCTGAACTCTGAGTGGAAATTTGCAGAGCTGCTGGAATAAAAACGCCACCAGTACATTTGTACTTGGTAGCTGGTATTATCTGAAAGGCTTTCTCGCCCCGACTTCCGGGGCGAGAAAGCCCCGTTCGTAAGTGCGGATCCGACATAAGTCGGATCCGCGTAAGTCGGGGACTGCCTGTACTGTGCCCAGCACAACTGGGCCTGAACTCTGAGTGGAAATTTGCAGAGCTGCTGGAATAAAAACGCCACCAGTACATTTGTACTTGGTAGCTGGTATTATCTGAAAGGCCAATAGTAAGATTTGATTTACAGAACCACCACCACTTTAATGTACCATTTCTCTGTTACCCCCACCATTTACATGGCAACTCACTGTCAGGCTATATCAATTATGCAGCTCAGAAAAACTCTCTGAAGAAATATCCTAGGGCACAAAATTAATGTAACTGATATTGGTACAATCTGTTTCCTTGTCATAGTATTTTCTGCCATACACTTCACAGAAAAATTATGCTCCCTTTCTGCCCCCCTGGATAAAATGAAAAGCATCCCTAACAAAACTGGTGTGATGGCAGTGCACTTTGTAACAGGATTTTATGAACACAGCGGTTACTGTGAGCTGGTATTATTTTATTAGAGGCATATTATAAGGTGTTTTGCTTTAAGAGTCTGCTCTGAACATCTATTGTGTCACTGATTATTCTGAACTATGGGAGTCCATTCCAATTAAAATTGAGGTACAACAGAACCTCAGAGTTATAAATACTTTGGGATTGGAGGCTGTTCATGTGACACACTGTATCTCTAAGCATCATCCTGGAACCCCCATACTCACCACCATTATATAATTTGGATATGTTTTATACAAAGGATGCCTACTGAGGTATAATTTTAAAAGCCGAACATTAATATTCTGTGGGATTGTATGTGCTATCACTGTATGCAGGGGTGAAAGTAGCTTAAATTTCTTACAGATATTGTCTTATTGCAACACCCACTTGGGGACAGCACCTGTAAGAAATTTAAGTGTGGTATGGAGTGCAGGAAGCTCAGGGCTGGGCAAGGAGCAACTGCACTGCCTGGTCACTGGATCCCAGAGATGGCCAGGGCAGCAGGGACCATGTTGCCAAAGCTTCAGAGCTGGAGCTTGGGTGTGCGGTGGTTGCTCCGCCCATAGACTGTGGGTGCTGGCTCAGGGCCACCAAGGCTGGGGCCCTGGATGGTGCTGGCCAACACATACAGGTAAGGTTTCCATGCGGTTGCTGGGCATGGGTGACCCACCCCTCCACATCTGGCACCCCTCCCCCTCAAAAGCTGAAACCACCACCACTCAGTTGCACCCCCGCACACATAGAAACTTCCAGCACAAGGACTGGGGGCCACAGGGTGGTGGTGGTTTCAGCTCTTGTTGGGAGAGAAGTCAGACATAGAGGGGAACCTTGCCAGTGTATGGTGGCTGGCACTATCCAGACGCTACTCTCCCTCAGCCACCGTCTTACCTGTGCACTGCATTGGCTTACATTCACTTCTGATTGTTGGTGAGATTATGAAGTATTGCAGAATATATTACTGAAATAGGTTGTGAGTTGGGACCTCCCACAACCAACCTATAAGGTACAATAACGTCGTAGCCAGACAGCATTAATGGCTCAATACCCATCATGAAAAGAATCCACTATCCTAGAGATTTCCTGGAGGAAGCACTCATGCCATGGCGGTGGACTAATCCACCTCACAGCAAAGACCTTTCCAGCAAGATGGAAGAAACTATACAAAAGGGGGAGTGACGCCATTACCTGATCTCACTCCCTCCACAACTCAACACCTAGAAACAGATCTGGTGGACAAAGGGGAGGGTGATCCCAAGCTGGGAAAAAGCCGTCCTCGCTAGTGAAAGAACAGGTTGAAGACTTTTGTAGAAGACTTTTGACATACACAAATTCATGGGGCTGTATCTAATGCAGCCAAGGATGCTGAGAGAGTCAGCTGACATGATTGCAGAGCCATTGGCCATTATCTTTGAAAATGCATGGTGATCAGGGGAGGTCCCAGATGACTGGAAAAAGGCAAATGTAGTGCCTATCTTTAAAAAAGGGAAGGAGGAGTATCCGGAGAACTACAGAGCGATCAGCCTTGCCTCTAATCCTGGAAAAATCATGGAGCAGGTCATCAAGGAATCCATTTTGAAACACTTGAAGGAGAAGAAGGTGATCAGCAACAGACAACATGGATTCACCAAGGGTAAGTCATGCCTAACCAATCTGACTGCCTTCTATGAACTGGCTCTGTGGATACGGGGAAAGAAGAGGTTACTTACCTCATAACTGTAGTTCTTCAAGATGTGTTGCTCATGTCCATTCTGATTAGGTATACGTGCGCCGTGTGCACCGATTCCGGAGCTTTTTTCCCTTAGCAGTATCCATAGGGCCAGCAGGGAGCCCCTTGGAGTGGCGCCAGTATACCGGTGCATATATACCCCTGCTGGCCCCTCCAGCCCCTCAGTTCCTTCTTGCCGGTTCCTTCCAACACAGGGAGGTGGGTGCAATGCAGAATGGACATGAGCAACACATCACGAAGAACTACAGTTACGAAGTTTCTGTTTCTCCTTCTCCTTCTCCATTCTGACTAGGTGAATCCCTAGCCATGTCCCCCCCCCACCCCCAGAGGGGGGTCGGAAGGTGACTAACTACCTAATTATCCTTCTGCAGATCTCAGAACTGCCCTCCCAATGGCAGCATCCTCCCTGGCCAGTTGTGTAATCGCATAATGCTCCGCAAAGGTATGCACCGACGACCATGTTGCTGCCCTGCAGATTTCCAAGATTGGCACAAGAGTTAGGAACGCTGCCGACATCGCCTGGGCTCTTGTGGAATGAGCCATTATGCGTGGCAGTGACCTACCCGCACCCTCGTAGCATAGCTGAATGCAGGAAGTAATCCACGAGGATATATGCTGCGCCGAGACTGGCAACCCTTTCATTCTTTCTGCCACTGAAATAAACAATTGAGGGGACTTACGAAACCCTCACGAACTGTCTATGTAAAAAGCCAATGCCCTCCTAACATCCAGGCAGTGCAAAGCCTGTTCCCTGGGTGATGCGTGTGGCTTGGGGTAAAAAA